CAGGATGTCTCCCGGGCATCAGAGACCAAGCACATAGTGGACTTGGACCGATAACCATAGTCCATTAAGTTGGGAGGAGTTAGACTCTCAGGATCTGAAGCTGGGGCTCCCCCAAGGCCCTAGCCCCTGGCTATTGTTGCTCTATCAAGCACATATGAAGCACATTTCTCCATGTATCAGGGCCTCAGGGAAAGACGTGGTTCAACCTGGCCCTCAACACCTAGTAGTACACACAAGTGCATGCTTGTTTATAACCTCCTCTCCCCACATTGTGCTCTTTATTGTAAGTCTTTGTAACTTTGCTGTTCCTACCTCATGTGGGACTGTTTATGTTATCCAACTCCTGTCAGGGCTGTGGTCCCTATTGGAACCTGAATCTTAAAGAGGGAGTACATTTCTACCAGGAACACCATGTGTCCTTTCTTTCTCTCCTTTTTTCAAATCTCAAAAGGACCTGAAAGAAAATAGGTGTTCTAGAGTCATTCCTTTGCATATAGTCATTTTCCTGAAATATACAAAGATACGTTGCTTTTCCCCTTAGTTAAAGAACTAAAATTAATGATGCTGACTTAGACACTGGAAGAACATGTATGTTACAATAAAGTCAAATTTTCATAGTAATAAAAGAATTCAGTTTTATCTTAAATGACTTGATTATACATTCTGAATCAACCAAAGTATTTTGAATCTAAGGAGCAGCAGCAAGGTGTCCCATGTCACAGTCTTCAGGAACACAAGTGCCTGGGGATCATTTACCATTGAAAGGGTCAGAGACCAAGGCAGTTAGAAATGTTGATTGTCTAGCATTCATTATCTTTTGTGGTTTCGGGACCTCATACCCACCTCTCTCCTTTTTCAGTCCCATCATTCCTCCTCTTCACATTTTCTACCTGTTTTATACTCAGACAGGGTAGTAACAAGGCCTACACCTGAATGCAGTCCAGTATACACATTTGAACCCTGAGCAGGTGTAGGAGACTCTTCCCAGCACTTTGTACATCCTTTCATAGTGAACCTTTTGTTGACTAATCATCTTTTACCAACTCAAAGAACTGTTCATAGTCAGGGCTTACAGTTGAATTTGACCCCAATTGTGGCTGTAACTCTTAGAATATCAATACTTCCATATTCCAAGATCATATATATCTTGAAAACTGATATATGAGTAAATCATGCTGAGCATACCTTAATTTCTGACCAGAAATGAAGCAATGCTTACTGGACTACTAAAGAACTATTTCCTTTTGAATCCAGGAATAAGTCCTCAAAACCCAGAAAACAACCTCACTACTTCAGATTCCTATCAAAGTGTAACACAGTGCCCTATATCAAAAGGGGGAGAGAATGTATCAGAATACCTACAGGAAACAGGACATCATTAAGAAAACTACTATTTCCATGTTTTTTTTTTTTAAGCTGCCAAATAAGTTACCTTAAAAACACCTGTTTAAGCACTTCTTCAAACAGAATATTTATTTTGTAATCATAATGTTCAAACATGGTTCAAGTATTACCTCCTTGACCTTTCTAGAACCTTCATCGCTATGGGCAGATGAAGTGCTATGGTGAGTGAGCTATCAATATTTGTGACCTGATGGGGCTTCTTAACTGTGTGAAACTGCAAGGCAGTGTTTTCTTTAACTGACCTAAGTTTTAGCAAATGATATTTTTCTTGAGCAAAGCATAAGTGGTTCATTTTTGCCTTTAAAAAGTATTTTATTTGCCTTGTTCCTATTAGTCAGACCCATGAACTTTTGACGTCATCCCCAGCATTCTTTGCTATAAACAAAATCATACTCATTAGCGGTGTTCTGAACAATTTTTTTTTTCAGAGCTGGGATTCTAACTTGGAGCCTTTGCCCATGTTAAACAAACATTCTTCTGCTGAGCTATATCCCTAGGTCTTGGTATTGTTTTATTTTGCTTGTTTTTTGAGACAAACCCTTATATTGTGGCCAAGGTTTGTCTTCAGCCTATGAGCCCCTGCCTCTAGAATGATAGGATTACAAGCTTGTACCAGCATACACAAGGGCAGTATCATGTTTTGATTTATTTAAATTGACATCTGTTCACATATTATTCTAGTTCTATAAGCTTTAAAATAGAAAAGACAAAGCAAAACAAACAAATGGTCCTTAGTCATCCTTTCCAAGCATCTGTGACCCCTGATACGTCTTCCTGGAAGTTACGTCTTATACTCCCCTCAATGTATTGTCACCATGGTATGTGCTCATTTGGAAATGGTTTCTCATAACATTTTAATAGGAATATTTTCCCATTCTATGAACATTTCTAAAAACCTCTTATAAATGTAGAATATTGTATCATGGTATATAATTGCCTATTTACCTATATCTTAATTTTAAAAATCCAAGATGACTTTTTGCCACTCAAGTAAAAAATTATAATAAACATTGCTCTGAAAACATATTTGTTCACTCACTAAATAAATCTATAGTAAGTTCTTGTTATTTTTCAAATACTGTCTTGGATATGAGCTGGAAGACCAGGGCAAACAGACAAGACCCTTGACCTTCTAGAATTTACTCCCTAATAGGAAACAAGCAGGAAACAAAAAAATGAAAACTTATACCAAGCCAGACAGTGGTGAATTGATGCAGAAATATAAAGCAGAAAAATAGGAACATGTGGTGATATATTGTGTACCCTAATAAAGCTTGCCTGAGGATCAGAGAACAGAGCCAGTCACTAGATAGAGGGCAGACAGTGGTGGCACATACCTTAATCCTATCACTAGGGAGGCAGAGATCCATCTGGATCTCTGTGAGTTCAAGGCCACAATGGAAACAGAGCCAGGCAGTGGTGGCACAGACCTTTAATCCAAGTACTGGGAAGCATGCACACCATTAATCCCAGGAAGTGATGGCAAGACGGAGAAAGGAGTATAAGGCATGAGGAAACAGGAACTAAAGTAGTTGAGCTGAGACCTTTCCTGGTGAAGACTCAGAGGATTTCAGTGAGAGGATTTGTGGAGTTGGTGAGGTAATAGGTGGTAGCTGTGACTTACTCTGCTTCTCTAATCTTTTAGCTTTTACTCCAATATCTGGTACTTGGTTTTTTATTATAAGACGATTTAAGATTTCAGCAACAGAATGAATAGACTGCAATTTTGAGGAATGGCTATGGAAAGTGTTATAGAGAATTTGATACTTAAATAAAGGAGCAAGGAAATGAAATAACTTGCTTATGATTGAAGGGATAAGAGTTTATGCAAGGGGAACAACAAGTGCAGAAGACTTTGTATAGAGTGATTTTTCAGAAGGAACCCAACAAAATTATTAGGCAGGAATGTTGGTTATATATACATACACACATACATATAAAACATTCTTCAAAAGTTGTTCTCCATCAAATTATTCTAAGTGGTGTTTCTTGGTTAATAAAGCTCTAGTCAAAATGCAATCTGTCCCTGATAGTATTTATTATGGTGATAACTATATTGAGAAATTCTAGGTGGCATTGTTGCTTTCTGATTTTTTTACAGTACTTTAAAGTGACTTCACTTAACAGAACAGTTTACTTAAAATAGTATCAATATTTTTGTATATTATTATTTATGCCCAGAGTTGTATTTGTCTGACAAACACAAAGCTAACCTCACAATGCACACAAATGCCCGGATCTAACATGTGTGAGATGCCCAGCATCCCCAGCGGTGCTCACCCCTAATGCACCTGTAACTATAAATACGAAGGGACACGTGCTCATAAAATATGAAAACATTTGCTGCTTGTTTTGAAAGAGGCAGGGATATGAAGAGTGGAATGTTACTAAGTTTAGAAACCCAGAAGAAACTTGTGACTTCTTGATTTAGAGGCATCTCAGAGGAGTGAGAGGTTTGTTCCACTTGGCTATTACTTGCTATGTCCTTCTCTCCTCTTCCTGCTCTTTCCAGCACAGCTAAAACATACTGTTCTCTGAGTAAAAATGGCATTATTAAGATGACTGATGTTTCTCAGTCCAACCCTTGAAGTTAGCAATTGCCATTAAAGTAACCTCATCTCTCCTAATCACCCCAGGAGGTTTTATTTTATTTTGAAAAATGGAAGTTAAATATATTGCATATCTACAATGTAACAAATTCAGAAACTATAGTCTCATGTTTTTAACAAAGTAAAATAAATAATATAAAACAAAAACTATAATATCAAAGTTGGATAAGGCAAACCAACAGAAGGAAAAGAGCCTGAAGAGAAGGCAAAAGAATCAGAAACACCTCAGGAGTCCTATAAAAACACTAAACCCAAAGCTATGACAAATATGCAGAGGACCTTGTGCAGACCTGTGCAGGCCTCTGCTTGCTGCTTTTGTTCATTTATTTTTGGTTGGGAGACTTTTAGTTGCTACTTCTATTTCAGTAAGGGTTATAGTTCTGTTTAAATTTCTTTTTTTTTTAATGCAATACTGTTTATTTAACTTCAAAAACATTTCAGCATTCTAAACATAAAAAAATAACAGAATGTTGCAAATTGCATTTAGGTACAGAGGGTTCTTGAACTTTTATTGATGCAGTAGTTCCTTGCTTTGCTGACAAGATGATGAGTTCTACAGTTTGTTTAAAAAGAGTTTAATATCTATGGCACTTAACTGAAGAAAAAAATCCAAACACTTCTCATGCCAGCTGACCCCTCCCCCCTTTTCCACAACTAAGAATGTCAGCAGAATGCTACGTCACTATATACAAAAACAAGACAACCTGAAGCAAAATGGATGCCCCACCACAGTATCAACAGGTCCAGCCTCACAGTGCACGCCCTGAGCTATGGCCCCCTCCAAAAGTCATCTTCCCCGAATAACCTTCATGCCAATCAAGGAGCATCAGGAATCTGTCTGGGTTGTTTTGTTCTCTTTACAAACTATAGATATGTACACCTGACAACTCAGGGTTTCTAGCCAATAACCAACCATATAGTTAACACTACCTTATGAGTTGAAAACATCTTCAAATGTCTTTTCGCACCAACAGCAAAGTGCACAGAGTGAGGAGAACATGAGAGTGCCTTTTCATTTTAAAAATGTTTGGAGCTATGTACAACTTTGATACAGTTTCAGGGCACTCCGGACACCCATGGCCACTTCATGTAAACCACTGACACTTTGAGAAAGTACAATATGATCATGATCAAATCTTGTAATTAAACCTAACAAGGGCAATAGACACAGCTCAAATAGAGATGTGTCAATCATGGCACTCTCCTACTCTAAGTTATTCACAAGGAGACAAGAGTTTTTATTCATCTTCCTCCTCCTCCTCTTCCTCTTCTTCCTCATCCTCCTTCTCTTCCTCTTCCACCTTTTTCCAGGCAACTTTAGCAGGACCCTTGGCACCATCAAATTTCCCATTAGACTTATAGTCAGCAACATCCTTCTCATACTTCTCCTTCAGTTTTGTAGCCTTGGTAATATAAGGCTGCTTTTCACTGTCACTTAGGTTATTCCACAACTCACCAAGCTTTTTTGCCACATCTCCAATGGAGATGCCAGGATTTGTAGATATCATCTTGGGGCAGAATTCAGAGCAGAATAAGAAAAATCCAGACAGTGGTCTTTTGGGGGCATTGGGGTCCTTCTTCTTCTTCTTGCCTCCTGTAGCTGGTCCATAATCTTTCATTTCCTGATCATAGCGTACTTTATCCGCTTTTGCCATTTCATCAAACTTTGATTTCTCTTTGCCGGACATTGTCTTCCACCTCTCAGAGCACTTCTTGGAAAACTCTGCAAAATTGACTGCGACCTCTGGGTTTTTCTTCTTATGTTCTTCCCTGCATGACTGCATGAAGAAGGCATAAGTAGATACCTTGCCCTTTGGTTTCTTGGGGTCACCTTTAGCCATCCTGACTGTATTGTTCGCTAGTCTGGGCAGCGCAGGGCACAGCTCTCAGCAATCCCCAGCCTCACACTAGCTGCCTTCACGACAGCCGCCCTGTTTAAATTTCTTAATCTGATCTTGATTTAACTTTGGTAAATGGTACCTATTAAGAAAATTAGTTTTCATAAGGGTTTGTCTATCTTATTGATTTCTTAAGGAACCAATTCTTTGTTTAATTGATTCTTTGCATTGTTCTCTTTGTCTCTGTTTTATTAATTTAAACCCTGAGTCTGATTATTTCATGCCATCTACTCCTTTTGGGTATGACTTCTTTTTGTTCCAGAGCTTTCAGGTATGCTGTTAAGTTGCTGGTATGAGGTACCTCCAATTTTGTTATGTAGGCATTTAATGCTATGAACTTGCCTTTCAGAACTGCTTTCATTGTGTCCCATAAGTTTAGGTATGTTATATATTCATTTTTATTCAATTCTAGAAAGTCTTTGATTTCTTAATTTCTGTCTTGACCCATTTTTTATTCAGTAGAGAGTTGTTCAGTTTCCATGAGTTTATAAGCTTTCTGTTGTTTCTGTTGTTGATATTCAGCTATAATTCATGTTGGTCTAACAGGACTCAGGATGCTATTTCAATTTTTTTTGTGTGTTGCTTGAGACTTGCTTTGTATCTGAGTATGAGGTCAGTTTTGGAGAAAGTTCCATGAGGTACAAAGAAGTGAACTTTGGGAAAATATATGTTAGGTCCACTTGGTTTATGATATCTGTTAACTTCAGCATTTCTCTTACTTAGTCTTTGTCTGGATGAGCTGTCTGTTGGTGAGAGTGAGGAATTACAGACTGCCACTATTGATGTATGAGGGTCAATATGTGATTTAAGCTGTAGTGGTCTTTCTTTTACAAACATGGGTGCCCTTTTGTTTGGAGCATAGATGTTAAGAATTGAAATGTCTTTTTGGTGGCTTTTTTTTTCCTTTGATGAATATTTTGTTTCTTTCTCTATCTTTTCTGATTAGTGTTGGTTTAAAGTCATTTTGCCTGATATTAAAATGGTTACACCAGCTTGCTTCTTAGGTCCATTTGCTTGGATTTTCTTTATTGTATATCCTTGATGCCGAGCTGTGTTTCCTGGATGTAGTAGAAGGATGGATCCTGTGTTCATATATATTCTGTTAGTCTGTGTCTTTTTATTGAGGGATTTAGATCATTTATATTGAGAGACCAATAACCAATGATTGTTGATTCCTATTTCTGTTATTTTGTTTTTGGTGGTGGTGGTGGTGGTTGTAGTGATGATAGTGGTGGTGGGAATGGATGGGTGGATGGATGTGGTTCCCTTCTTTTGATTTGCTAGTCTGAAATTATTTATTTTCTTGGTTATGGTTATAGCCTCCTTAGGTTGGAGTTTTCCTTCTAGCACTTACCTACCAATTGTAGGTAAGTATTGTTTAAATTTGGTTTTGCCATGGAATATCTAATTTTATCCATCTATGGCAATTGAAAGTTTTGTTGGGTGTAATAGTCTGGTCTGGAATCTTTAATATCTTAGAGTACATCCAAGTACTTTTGGCTTTTAGAGTCTTCATTGAGAAGACAGGTATAATCCTTATAGGTCTGCCTTTATTATTTGGTCTCTTTCCCTTGCAGCTTTTAATATCTTTCTTTGTTCTGTACAATTAGTGTTTTGATTATTATGTGCAAACGGAACTTTCTCTTTTGGTGTAATCTATTTGGTGTTCTGTAGTGATGTATTGTGTACCCCAATAAAACTTATCTGGGAATCAGAGGACAGAGCCAGCCACTAGATTGGACATAGAGGCCGGACAGTAGTGGCACACACCTTTAATCCTAGTACTGGGAAGCACACAAGCCTTTAATCCCAGGAAGTAATATGACAGGACACAGAAATGTATATAAGGCATGAGAAAACAGGAACTCGCTCTCTTGAGGCTGAGGATTTCATAAAGGTAAGAATGTGGCTGGCTTGTACTGTTTCTCTGATCTTTCAGCTTTTACCCCAATACCTGACTCTGGGTTTTTGTTTTTTGTTTTTTTTATTAATAAGGCCTTTTAAAATTCATGTTACAGTGTTCTGCATGTTTCTTGTACCTTTATACTCATCTTCTTAAGTTAGGCAAATTTTCTTTGTTGAATATATTTTCTGAGCCTTTGAGCGGAGTTTCGTCTCTGTCCTCTCTTCCTCTTAGTCTTAGATTTGGTCTTTTGACAGTGTGCCTGACTTCTTCTATGTTTTGTATCAGGAGTTTTTTAGATTTAACAATTTCTTTGACTATTTATCCATTTCTTCTATCACTTCTTCAGTGCCTGAGATTCTTTCTTCTCTGTCTTGTATTATGTTAGTGAAGCTTACCTCTGCAGCTCCTGTTTGAATTCCTAAATTTTTCATTTCCAGAATTTCTTCAGTTTGCATTTTTTTTGTTGATTCTCTTTCCATTTCCATTTCATATTGAATAGTTTTATTTGTTTCCTTCCACCGTTTGTTTGTGTCTTCCTGGATTTATTTAAGGTTTTATTCATTTCCTCTTTAGAGACTCCTATGATCTCCACACAGGCTGTTTTAAGGTCTTTTCCTTGTACTTCAGCTATGGATGAATATTCAGGGCCTGCTGCGGTAGAATTGCTGGGCTCTAGTGAAGACATATTGTTCTGGCTGTTATTGATTTTGTTTTTATGCTGGTGTCTAGGCATCTGGGATTGGGATGATTACAGGTATAAGTGCTGATTTCTGGGTTTGTGTTTGTTGGGGTATTTTTGTTCCTTGGTTTCTGTTTCTTCTCTGGATTTCCAGAGTGTGTGATATCTGTGTGTTGCTTTGTAGGAAATTTCTATAGCTCTGATTCCCTGGCCTGCTCAGACTGTGTGTTCCCAAGGAATGCCTGCTAATGTTGGGGGCTGGGAAAATGAAATGAGTTTGGGGAAGGAAAGTTGGAGGAGAACATCTTTGTGATCAGTTGGAAATAGAGTCAGAAGGGAAAAAAGAGATCACAGTAGGTGTTCTGCTACAGACTGGGGCATTTAGTGTGGGGAAGCAGAGGGAGAAGGGAAGATCTACAGTCAGCCTACCTGGTTCCCCTGAAGCAGAAGCCTGTGGAGTAGTAGAGAGTGCATGCTGGAGTTGGGGCTGAGATAAAGCAACTAGTCAGGACAGAGAGGTAGGAGCAGAAAGTCTTTGGGATCCACGTGAGATATGGGCAGGTTGGGAAGGAAGGCTGCAGCAGATGTTCTGTTGCAGAGCTAGGAATGAGACTGGGGATTGGAGTTTGAGGAGAGGAGGGAGCTGTGAAGGTCTTCAGTTCGCTTGCCTGCTTTCTGGCCTGCTCACCTGGTGTGTTCCCATGGAATGCCTGCTGGTGTTGGAGGATGAGATAATGGAAGGAGTTGGAGGAAGGCAGGTTGGAGAAGATCTTTGTGATCCACTGGGGACAGAGTCAGAGAGGAAAGGGAGATGACTGCCAAAGAGCTAGAGATGAGACTAGGGATCTGCATCTGGAGGAGCAGGAGGATAGTCGAGGATCTGTCACCCCATGGGTTAAATAAACATAGAAATAGTAGTGACATTTTAAAATAAATGTGTTTTGAATACAGGAAATTTTTGTTTAAAGACATTTAGATGACAGAAAACATTATGGCCCCTGGGTGGACCTAGAAAGTCATCATTTATTGTTCAACTTTTTAAAATATTTGCTGGGGCTATCAAGATGTTATACAGGTGAGTGGATATAGGGATTCCTTAGCACAATGTAGAACACACTCATGGTCTGGACATAGTTCTTTATATTTATAGACAGACAAAGAGAATAATGATATCCATGGGAATAAAGAATGGGAGAGGGAAATCATTTCATCCATGCGTGAGGGAAATCTAAAAGCCTGTCTTTCCTCCCTCATCACCATGAATCCATTCTTATGATTATCTAGTTCTAACAACTAATATTTTCTGTTTAAAATATATTAGTCACTAAGCAGATGTTTACCTACCCATCACATTGTTCATATATAAAACATGAAATATACTTATTGAGGTGAGTAACCACCTTATTACTCAAAGTAGGTATGCATCATTTCCTTTAGATGATGGGTCTTTATTTTTAGACTGTTGAGAGCACACATTAGAATCTCAGGTTCTTGAATCAAGTACCACAAAGTAAATGGCAGGTGTCTTGAGAATTCTTCCAAATGACACGTTAGAGACAGCATGAGAAATTCTAGCAACTCTAAGTGGTAAATATGAGGACATCATCTTTCTGTGACGACAGCCCCAGAATAAAGACTTCTGGATACCCAAGTGATCAAGAAAAAGTGGTGGCTCCAACAGAGCAGGACACAATGGCTACCACAAAATTAAGCATATTTTTAAATTAACAAGAATTATTTATTCATTAATAGATGGCTTAATTTAATCGCATGAGGCCTGACAAACCTGGTCCCATGCTTTGGGTATTTAAAAAGTACACCAATGAAAAAGCCACTTAGGGGAGAAAGGGTGTATTTTAATCCACAATTCCAGATTATAGCCCATCACTGCAGAGAAGTCAAGGTAAGAACGTCAAACAGCTAGTCACATGATATGCATAGCAAGAGCAGAGATGAATGAAAGCACACATGCCTAGTACTCAGCAGCTTCTTCTATACATAGTCCAGGGTCCCAAACCAGACAGTAGTGTAATCTACTTTTATGCTTGTTCTTCCCACATCAGTCAGCAGAGTCAAGGCAATCCCACGTAGATCTGCCCATGGCCCAGCCCAATCTAACAATCCCTCCTTGAGATTTTCTTCCAGGTAGTTCTAGTTTGTGGTAAGTTGACAATTAAAACCAACATTAACAAAAGATAGGCTGAAGAAACCAAAAATGTTATATAGTTGAAAGGTAGAAGAAATTACGTAGAAGAAATTTGTCACAGCATGGAATTGCTTAGCAGAAAGTAAAAGAGCAATGACTGCCTTGTTCCAAGTTGTGAAGGCATTTGTGGTACATCTTGAATTACAGGTGAAGCTGCTCCATATTTGTCATTGACTTTGAAGGCAT